GAAACCAACGGAAGACTCCTTGCACCAAGGAGTTCAGAAGGCAGACTTTTTTAGGGGGGGCGGTGGAGGAGGCAGGGTCTCACTATGCAGTTCAGGCTGGCCTTGAGCTCACTTTGTAGCCCAGGCTGGTCTCAAACTTGCAAAAATCCTCCTGCCTCAGCCTCCCGAGTGCTGGGATTACAGGAATGCACCACCATGTCCAACTAGAAGGCTGACTTTTATTCATAACATTGGTGGACCAAGGAAAACTGAGTTTTCAAATCATTGGCCCAGAGTCAGGCTTGAGTTCAGTTTAAATATGATTTATAACTGAGAAGTACAAAACTGATAATGGGGGCTGGGGATATAGCTCAGCGGTACAAGCGCCTGCCTGGCAAGTGCAAGGTCCTGAGTTCAATTCCTGGTACCAAAACAAAGCCCAAAAAACAAAAAACTGATAATGGGTCACGATTGGTTACATAGAATACAAGAATTGTGTCATACATTGTCGGACAGGACTGTATGTACGGGGCGAGCAGAGTTAATATGTGTCCTTGATCAGGCAGTCTTTCCCCAAACATGACGGCCTTGAAGCAGGCTGGAGCCAGAGAATATTTTCCTTTTTTTGTCTTTTTGAAACAAGGTCTCACTATGCAATTCAGGCTGAACTTGAGCTCATTTTGTAGCCCAGGCTGGCCTTGAACTCATAACGATCCTCCTGCCTCAGCCTCCTGAGTGCTGGAATTACAGGCGTGTGCCACCATGCCCGGCTTATATTTTCTTAATTAAAGGAAACACAGTCAGCCTGACCTGTCATGTTGGAGGGTAACATCTGAGACCAGACAGTCAAGGTTTGTAGCTGAATTAAGTAAGCTAGGTATGTGACAGGCAGCAGCAACCAGTGCTCACAGGCCTGTAATTGATTTTGAACTTTTACTATAATATGCCTACAAGTCTGCTATTCTATAAGTACCCTTACAGTATAAAAGTATATGGTCTGGTAGATGCAAAGACATTTTACACCTTGAATTTAGACATTTATCCTGAAACTCATTCCAGGTCTTTATTCATGCAGTAATAAACCATATGATGTTATGAATAGACTTGTTGCACCTGTTTCAAAAATAACCCAAATGTCACATTCAACAGTTCTGCCAGGCATGGTGGTGCACGCCTATAATCCCAGCACTCGGGAGGCTGAGGTAGGAGGATCGGTGTGAACTCGAGACCAGCCTGGGCTACAAAGTGAGCTCAAGCCCAGCCTGAACTCATAGGGAGACCCTGTCTCAAAAAGACAAAAACAAAATAAAACAAAAGAAAAACAGTTCGTTCACAAGTTATCCATTGATGTTACATTTGCTAAAAGAACTTCAGTTGACCAGCACAGGAACTATTCACAAGAACAAGTGGAAATTCCTGAGAAAAATGTTGCAAATTCGGGACAGTGCCTGCTTGGCAAACCCAAGGTCCTGAGCTCAATTCCCCCCGACACATACACACACAAAAGTTGCAAATTCACAATAGAGAAATGTACAGTACAATCTTTGGATTTCAGACATAACATTGGCCTCCTATATGGCATAGAAAAACAAAGTAGTATTGATATTGTAAATATTACTCCATGATGGTAAGACTGACAGTGAATGAAGCCAGGCATAGTGAGGTACACCCCTAATCCCAGCACTTAGGAGGCTGAGGCAGGAGGCTCTTGTGAGTTCAAGATCAGGCTATGCTACATAGTGAGTTCAAGGCTAGCCTTGACTACGTAGCAAGATCATGTCTCAAAAAAACTAGAAAAAAAAAATTGATAGTGAATTCTCAACAGAAACGAAGCCAGGGGCCAGGAGTGGTGGCGCACGCCTGTAATCCCAGCACTGGGGAGGCTGAGGCAGGAGGATCCTTGTGAGTTCGAGACCAGCCTGGACTAAAAAGTGAGCTCAAGGACAGCCTGAACTGTATAGCAAGACCCTGTTTCAAAAAAGACAAAAAAACAAAAAAACAAAAAACAAACAAACAAAAAAACAGAAAGGAAGCCAGAAATGGTCACATTTCACAACACAAGGAAAGGTGATGTAGATGTCGATGAGTTATGCAGCAACTATGATGACACTCAAAACACAAAGCACTGGCCAGTGGTTGTGTTCCACTCTATCCTAAACATATCAGGCATAAAGAGTTTCAGAAGAAACAAAGAAAATAACAAGTACAAAATATCATGGAGAAGTTTTCTTAGAGGACTGGGTCTGGAATTGATAAATGATCAATTACAACACAGGATGAACAATATGTATCTGCCCAAAGAACTCCACAAAAGAATTCTGGAGCACACCGCTGAACAGACAGGTGCAGCATCACAAGACCAGCAAGATGTGGAGTACGGCCTACCAAAGAAGACAGGAAAACAAAACACATGCGCTGTCAGTGGAAGCGATACCTGTGTATGGCACATGCAGTTCTCATGTGTGAAAACTGCCTTAGGTGTAATCACTGAAGTAAAGATTACTTTTGTGGTAGAATTTTGTTTGTATTTTCATTGCAGTTTGCATAGGAATTTATTTCTGTTATTTTTAGATTTAATAAGCAAACAGTTATTGTAGAAAATGATGTTTATTCTAAACAATCAGTATATATTTGATATTTTAATTTATTTTATTGATATTTCATTTTTCTGCAAAGTTCACATTGTATAGTATAATGGGAAGCTCCTGACAAAAGGTGAAGAAAAGAGAGATGACAAGTATGGCCTGCCAAACAGGAAAGGAGCTGGAGACATAGCTCAGTGGCACAAGCGCCTGCCTGGCAAGTGCAAGGTCCTGAGTTTGATTCCCAGTACCAAATAAATAAATAAATAAATAACAGGAAAGGAAAGCTAAGCACACATGCTGCTTAAGCGAGACTTGCATGGAACATGCTATTGCCATGTGTGAAAGCTGCCGTATATGTGATAATTGAACCAAAGATTATTTCTGTGGTAGAGGTTTATTTGTATTTTCTTTTTTTTTTTTTTTTTTTTTTTTGGTACCAGAAATCAAACTCAGGACCTTGTGCTTGCCAGGCAGGCACATGTGCCACTGAGCTATATCCCCAGCTGTACTTTCATTGTAGTTTCCATAGAAAAAAAAATTTTGCTTTGAGACCAGGTCTTGCTATGTAGTTCAGGCTGGCCTTGAACTCACTATGCAGCCCAGACTGGTCTCAAACTCACAGCAATCCTCCTGCCTCAGCCTCCCGAGTGCTGGGATTACAGGCATGTGCTACCATGCCTGGCTCACATAGGAATTT